TGCTTTTTCTACTCCTGCTTATGCTGATGTCCATCCTGACTTCTCATGTGTATGCTTATTCTCCTGCTCATCCCCCTGCTCGTCCGCTTCCTCCTCCTCTTCCTCCTCCTCCTCCTCCTCCTCCTCCGCGTCATCCCCCTCTTCCTCCAATGTACGACCCCCTTTTCTGATTGCACAACACACGAAGGGGGCATTCCGAGGATCAAGGTCATCTAGAGCACCCCATCCGGCGGATTGGAAATCATTCAACGCAGTGCAAAGAGATGTTCAGGAGGGGTTGCATGCCAGACAGGAATCGCGCGCACCTAGTTTGGCCCCCCTCTGTCCCTGCATCCTCTTCATCCTCGTCGCCTCGCCCTCCCCAGGGGAGCATTAGCAACCCCGTTTCTCCTCCCTCCTTCGACTTCCGCTAGCGCATGTTTTGCTTCCAATCCGCGACCCCAGAGGTCCCGACCTCTTCCCTGGGGCCGGTTTCGCCCTGGAGCTGTTTTCTTAATGGCCAAGTGAACCGACACTGGGATCCAGAGTTCGAAATCCATGGAAAACTCCCTCGTGAGATCTGGGTGCTGCATTATCCCTCCCACTTCTCCTTTCCCTCCGCTCCTGTCCCCCCACTCCGTGGAGGGCCGCAGGAGGGACCTTCCCCCCCCCTCCCAGGCCCTCCAGGGTGACTGGGCCTCCTCGTCTTCCTCCTCCTCCTCCTCCTCCTCCTCCTCCTCCTCCTCCTTCTCCTCCTCCTCCTCCTCCTCCTCCTCCTCCTCCTCCTCCTCCTCCTCCCCCTCCTCCTCCTCCGGACGTGGTGGAGACCGGCGCGTCCCTGGCGGGCCCAGGCCCGCCGACCCCGCCGCGCTGGCAGCCGCGCTGGCCCACAGGCCTTCAGAGGGCGGCGGCGAGCTCGCGGCGAGCTCGCGGCGGGGCCGCGAGAGCCCCGAGGGGCACTCCTTCACTTTTCAGGCGATCGCAAACAGGGAGCAAAAGGGGCGTGGACTGGCGACAGGTCCGCATCTGGGGGGGGCGCCTCCCCCGATCCACGGATTTGGCGGCCGCGCGCCGCATCCATGGATCGCTGATCCACGTTTGCCCGCCCCCGATGTCTTGCCAGTCCAATTGGCAGTCCCCCCCCCCCGCCCCTGGGGGAGCCCAGCCGACCGCGGGCGAAGACCGCCGCGCCGACGCGGAGGCGCGCCCGGCTGGCAAGGGCGCCCCGGCCGAGAACGCCCCGGGCGGCGCCGGGGCGCTGAGCGCGGCGGCCGCGGCCGAGCGGGAGCCGAGGTGGCCAAGAGGCCGGGTGCTGCCAGAGGTCCTGGGCCTTCCCGACGGGGTCGGAGCAGGTGGGGTCGGAGGAGCGCGCCACGTCGCCGACGCATCGGCGCTGCGGCTCGGAGCCCGGCTCTCCACTCCGACGTCGCAGGATGCAGCGCCGACGTCGCTGGTGCATCGGTGGTGCGGTGCAGTCCTCCGACGACCCCGTCTGTTCGGGCCGCAGCCAGGAGGCCTCCAGAGGCGCCCCTGGCCCAAGGTGCCCCCAGGATTTCCAAGGAGGCCAGCACGGCCTCCGAAGCACCCCCCACGAGGCCCAGGGGGGTCCCAGGGCCTCCGACGTGGAGCGAGAAGCTGGGGGCACCTTGGGCCAGGGTAGCCCAGCGGCCGAGAGGGGGGTGACGGCCAGGGAAGGGTGGATAGCATGGCCATAGATGGGCTTTTCTACCGGGTTCCCCATGCGTGCGCCATGCAGCTTCCTGGGGGGCGTCTCCCGAGAGCTCTCGAAGCTCCCTCGAGGGAGTGCTGGGAGGCCTCCCCCGCGATCCGGGCCTTGGGCACCCGAAGTGGTGGCACCTTCTTCGTGGCCCCGTGCGCCCCCCTGGCCCCCCCCCTTCTGGGCCGCACCCCTGCCTCGGGCCACGGTGTGCGCCCCCCCCCCCCCCCCCCGGACGGCCCCCTCTCGTCTCGGACGCCGCCCCCGAGCCGAGAGGAGGAGGAGGAGGCGCCGCGCTGCCGCCGCCCCGGGGGGCCCGAGCTGTGGCCCGAGGGCGGCCCGAACGGCCGCCGGAGGCCCGAGTCATGGCCCGAGGGCCCTCACCGGGCCTCGGGGCCGTCAACAAAAGCGACTCGGGATGAAAAGTTTGTCCCATGGAGCGGATCGAGACCTCTGGGGGTCGACTCTGTGGAAGGACTACCGTCGGCCCTGATCAGCAGGTCGACCCTGCCAAATCAAATCAAGGGTACCCTTGTGTCCTGCATTCATATGGCAATGTGGCCCTCGGAAGAGTCTTGTGCCCTCTCGCGTGTTCTGTCCAATCAAGTGCGACCGTATGACGTCGGGGGTCTGGGGATACCACTGCCCGTGCTGGCATTGTTGGGCCTCCCGGGAGGCCCACGTCGCCACAGCTGGATTCGCTCCAAGATTCTGGTCAGAGCGCGCCCAGGGGGGAGGTCCAGGGAGGGGCGATCGCGGTACCTTTTGGCTTCCCATAGGAGCAGGGCGACGCGGGCAGCTCGGGCGACGCGCCTCTCCCAGAGGGCGGGCCGTCAAGGTCCTGGCGCTGCAGTTTTTCGGCCCGGGCCGTTTTCGCGCAGGCACGGCCCCGAGGCCATCACAGATCGATCCGGGCCGACAGATTGTGCAGCACGATGGGTTCTAGGGCTCCGGCCGTGATCGCTCGCGTTGGTATACTTGTCTTGCAACGTCGGATCGGGGGGGAGCCTCGATCGAGGATCGGGGTTCCAGTTCTTCGCCCTTTTGGGAGGGGCCTATCTTTGGAGGCTCCCGTCCGTCCAATGCCGGATCCTCCTCCGAAGACCTGGCCAAAGCGCAGCCCAGGACAAGTGCGGGGATTCATTCGTGTTTCCTCGGGCCCAGCCCCCCTCGCGACGCAAGAAGGTCACGACGGAAGGTGTTTGCCAGTTTTCGGCCTCCGCGAGGCCACCGATGGGGCAAGGAGCCTGCGAAAACGGCTCGGGGGAAAAGCCGGTCCTTCGGGGGTGGACAGAACCCCCAACAGTGACACGTCGATTAGTGAATTGTCCGTTTTCGATTCTCGAGATGGCGCCGTGGCCGTTATTTTCCAGGCTTGCGCCCGCCAGGTTTGGGCCTCAGGTCGTTTTCACTAAACGACGTTTTACTAAAGGGGGGTCTGTCCATCCCCGAGTCCTGAGGAGAGGGTCGGGCTTCCTGGGGGCCCCGCATGGAGCAGCACAAAGCAGCCGACATGTGGGGCTCCGTCCTCCCTCTCTCTCTCCTCCTCCTCCTCCTCCTCCTCCTCCTCCTCCTCCTCCTCCCCCTCCTCCCCCTCCTCCTCCTCCTCCTCCCCCTCCTCCTCCTCCTCCTCCTCCTCCTCCTCTTACCCCTCCTCCCCCTCCTCCTCCTCCTCCTCCTCCTCCTCCTCCTCCTCCTCGGAATCGGAATCGGAATCGGAATCGGAATCGGTGTCTGAAGACGTCTGCCTTGGCCGCCCATCTAAGCACCGGGAAGGCGAGGAAAGGGGACAGGGGGACAGCAGAGCAGCAGGAGAGGAGGAGGAGGGACATCAGGGGTCGAAACACCAGATTTCACCCTCGTCCTCAAATTCGGCGTAAGCCTCGGGGAGCTCGGACAGCCCAAAGGTCGGTCGCAGCCTTATCACCGACTCAACCCTCCCAATCCTTTCCCAATCGAACAGGTTACCTCCATGAACGACGGCGGCAGCACGCCGTCATCTGACACACCTGTGTGTCTGCTCGAACGGCGTCTTGAAAGGTTTCCAGGCTCAGCGGAGAGAGGCACGCGGGGCAGGCAGACTTGTGCACGAGAGGGATGCCACGGTAAGGACAGGGGCCGCCCGCCAAGCCCTGTTGTCTTCACGCACCGTCCCTCTCTCCCTGGTCACCAGGGACATTCCAGGGACAGCAGGGGGCATCCCACTCCTCCTCCTCCTCCTCCTCCTCCTCCTCCTCCTCCTCCTCCTCCTCCTCCTCCTCCTCCTCCTGCTCCTCCTCCTCCTCCCCCCCCTACTCCTCCTCCTCCTCCTCCTCCTCCTGTGCCCCTCATCGCGAGTGGTCCCGACGGCCCCAGGGACATTCCACCGAATGAAGACAGGCCAAGAGAGGCCCAAGGCAGCCAGGCTGGGAGCAGACGGATCGGCCCAGGAAGCTCCCCCCGCAGCCCACATGAAGGCCACGGCGCCCGACCTCGCAAGGGGAACAAAGAGGTCGCGCAGCCTCTGAAAAGAAGCTCTCACGACGAGAGGCCGTAACGAGATGCTTCAGGCACAGACGAGTACAACACCTTTGCCTGAGACGGCACGTACGTCACTCAAGGGAGAAGGACGACGCGGAGCAGGTCGGAGGTCATCCTCAGAGATCTGAATCGTAGGATAAATCTTGTCATCAATCGAGGTAGGATGGTCAGGTAGCTCCACTCTCGGTCCTAAGACTCTGCACTCTGGTACTTCAGCCAAGTTGTCGGGAAGCCCTCGTTTCCTGTTCTTGGCTTGTGACTCGAGTGCAAGGTGGCTATATGCTAACACTTATTTCACTGGGTGCCCGCGCACAAGACAGATACCTGACGCGCCGACACCTCCCAACTCTCTCAGAGTGCGCGTATCGCCCATTAGGGGCATGCAACTCTTTGAGGCAAACCTGGCAAGTGGAGCCATAGACATGTGATGCAAACTGCCTATCATTATTATGGGGTGGTTGGTATGCATAGTAAGAGTCCGCCTCTGTTCAGTATGAAAGCCATATTGGTAGCAAAGGTAATGAGTGGCCGTGTCCTGAGCATCCTCGGGAGCCCCCTCGAGGGTCCAGGGAGAGCCCACCCAAAGTGAGGAAACCATACTTTCCGACAACTGACCCTCAGCCTCGTCGGCAAGAGACCCCAGGGCCGGCATAGCAGCGTGTCTGAGATGGGAATCAAAGCCCCTCGGGTCAGCCCTCACGCGCGCAACCCAACCAGAGAGACAACCAGCCCCAGGGACCTTCGTCTTACAGCTAAACGAGTTCATCCAACCAACATCCTGCGTCAGCTCGCTGGTCCACCCAATATCTCTCGCCAACAGAAATCCAGCACACTAAGCCGGCGAGCCAGTGCTCTCCTGAGCCGACGTGGGAGATACTTCACAAGCACGATCTGCAGCAACTGCCGAACGTGGAGCCTGTTGACTCGCAGAAGAACTTCTGAACGTGAAACGTGACATTCCCCGTGCTTACCTAGGGGCAGTCCCAGAGCGGCGCGGTTCACGGAGACCTGAGCATGTGCAAATTTCTTCAAAGCGCGAGAGGAGAGATGGGACCACGTGGCCATGTTGAAGAACATAGGAGTAAGGGCGTGCGCCTCGTTGTACTTCACGTTTTTATGCAACGGGACGGCCCCCCTTCTTACTCAGGGCACGCTGGATTGGGCTTGGTGTCCGCCCTGGCTGGGGCAGTCCGTTGCGTGACCCCGGTATCCATGGAGCCCTTGTCGTTGACTAAGGTGTCGAGGCATTTTCTGGTGCGGCGGATGGCGACAGCCTCGCGGGAAGGAGGGGCAACACTGGCTTCATGAGTGCAGATGTGTTTCTCAATCTGCCTGACTCCCTCGCCTGCAGGTCCCATCAGAAAGAAACTCATCGTAGCGTTGAGCCGCAAGCCGGCGGCAACAACTTCTCGCTCCGCGATGACTGCAGCTGTTTGAGCATGTGTTCTTGCAACAGCTCGGGCGCAGGTGCCGCGCCAGGAGCCGTGAAGTCATGAATGAAAGCGCCAGTGTCCTGCTGGTGCTCATGATCACTGGCCTTGGCGGATCACATGGGCACATCAGCTGGAGGCATCCATCCGAGTTCCTGCTCGCAGATCTGTTCCTGAACACTGTCAGCAAGCGGGGCGACGCCAATGTGAAAGACGTCCGCGGCATGCACAGTTCCAGATGTGCACTCCTAGATGGGGCGTATGAAGCCCGAGGCCCCACGGACACGCCAGAAACCATGGGCTTGGGACTCAGCGAACAGGGCGGGAAGGTGAGGGTCGGGAACCAGAGAGGAAGCCAGGGAGGAGGGGGCCAGATTCTGGATGGCATATTCCAAGGCAGGGCGCACAGGCAAGGAGGACATGGCGTTCTGGAAATGTTCCGCCTCGACGGGCATGTTGACTACAGCAAGTCGTATGATAGTGTAAAACGCCACCTTAAGATTAGGATGAGAAATGAAGCAAGAAACTCGATCCGCAAATTGAGCTTGCATCCTGGAGGTGATGGAATGTGTGACGAAGTCCGTACTTCGTCCTGGCACGCCGCCGCAGTGAGCATCCTGCAGTCATGAGGCCAACACTGTTGATCAAGCCGCGCAAGAAACTGTGATGTAAGTTACACGTGGTGTTGCCAAATAAAGTGTTTCTGCGACTGGCTGCCAAGACAGCCTGGGTGGCACCCTTGCTAACGTCAATGATTTCACCCTGCTTGGAAAGGAGGGCCCCCCTACCCCCCAGGCCAATATCGAGGAGGATGGGGTGTAAGATGCGCGCAATGGCTCCGGGGGCAGTCATAAGTACATCGTGGGGGGCCCCTCCAGGGCCAGCGGCAGAGCCCCCAGGGACAGACTGAATGAGCCTCCGAAGGTCCTGGAGAGAAGCGACATTGTTGATGTCTGCGGTGGTATCCTCAGCCAACGTCGCGCCCTTGCATAAGAAACCCCGTACCTTCTTGAGCTTGAGCATTGACTGTCAACGCGAACTCAATATCCCCGAAGTGACTCTGCAGGTAATTCGCAGACGCTTGGGCCGATTCGAGGACTTTGCCAGCAGGGTCTTTAACCAAAGGAAGCGCGGCCATCTTCGGTGTTCCCCCCCCCGGGCCAAAAGAGAGCGGGTCCGTTTCGGTTCAATTCGTGGACGATTTCTGTCAATAGCCATACGGATGCTTTCTCTATTCTGGTAAAGAGATCGGTATCATCTGGCTCGACTCGCGAGTGTTGCACCTGTGCCGTGTGCGCAGTAAAGCGAGCAAGGGAGAGCACACATTCGTGTGTCTGGATGCGTGCCCAAGCGCAGTCCTCAGCGGCGGTGAACCACACATGCCATGGGCCGAATAGGTCCGTATAGAGCTGCGATTCATCATCTCCATGTAGGGTTGAGGAGGCAAGATGGGCAAGGCCCCCATCGCGAATACGCTGTGCCGCCACTAAGAGTTCGTCAAGCTTGAAGCCCCGAGTGCGAACGAGGTACAACCTGTTCCGAACGTGCTTGCGAATTCTGATGAGTGGGAAGAGAGGGGCAAAAATCTAAGGACGTCTCACCCCAAACCTGTCTCTCCCGAATCACTTCGCCGCTTCCTTGTTGATGGAATCAGTACTCACATTGCACTGCTATGGTTCCAGCATGAAGCCGTCACAGGCAAACTGGAAGTCACGGATACATGGTTAGTCTGCCAATTTCTTTCGGTCGAGGTGAATTGATCCAGATTGGACCGCGGAGGCTTTCTGATTCCATTATTTGAGGCACGAGACAGGAAAGTGATCCTCGTGCTCACGCAGCACCTCCATGCCATGG